GAGGTATTGAAAAGATGTAGATGTATTGCTTAGGGACATGGTTTAGTGGTGGACTTGGCAGTGTTAGGTTTGCAGGTGAACTCAATGATCTTAAAGGTCTTTTCCAACCTAAATGATTCTATCATTTCTTTGAAATAAAAGGATCTGAATTTTAGTGGAATTGAAGGACCTTTTACAATGAGTTCATAACTGAAGCATCAGGAATTGTTTTCAGGACTTGGTGTTACTTCTTTTCCTGGGTCTGTGTGTTTTATATATGTATGGCAATTTAAATACTGAATGTCTAGGGGTTTGAAATGTTATCCCAGTCTTTAAGAACAAAATGTTGTGAAATTTTAAGGATTATTCTAATACAACAGAAGGGAAACATTTTGGATTTTCTCATTATACCATCTCAAAATTTACATACTTATGTATTCCTCTGCTTATCACAGAAACAACATACAATTGGTATAAAAAGAGGTTTGAGAAAGTTAACTATTGTTACCTAAAATGGAAGAAAAGAACTTTCTGGATAATATTAATATAGAAAAAATAGAGAGCAGTCTTTAATTAAAGCACTTTAAGGTACACTATATACAGAAGTGCACTATAGTGTACAATATAGTATTGGGCTTTTACAATTTTATAGCTGCAATTAATTATCATATCTAAAGGATATATCCAACCCGAAAATTGTCCACCCCTCAGAACCTCCCTCAGGTCTGCCCTGGAATTGAATCGGAGGTCTCAGGACCCCTTTTTTCATCATCATCACCTCCTCAGGTCACATCCCTTCTTAGGAGCTTCTCCAAGGTCTCTGGGCTTTCTAGGTTGCTTTGTCTACAATATCTTTCTAGGTATGTCCCAAACAAGATGTACTTGCTAAGGTCTTTTCCTTGAAGACAACATTAAACAAAACTGGAAGAATTTCAGGAATTTGATATGAAGCGTGAGAAAGGAGTTTTAGTTAACTGCTATTCTCAAGTGTTAGAAACTATACAGCTATATTAAAAATCTATATGCTACAAATCTTAAAAATCCTAAGGCATCACTATTATCTTATATGGAAGTATACTGATTGTGGTTATTACACACCCATTTTTTTATATTATCACACTCATTTTTAAAAAGGGTAGTAAGGAGTTCCCAGGGAACTACTGACCAGTCAGTCTTACCTCCATGTCCGGTAAGATCATGGAACTGATCTGCCTGGAAGACATGTGGAAACATATGGAAAACAGGGAGATGATTAGAGATGGCCAACATGGCTTCAGCAAGGGCAAGTCGTGCCTGACTAATCTAGTGCCCTTCTACAACAGAGTGACTGCATCAGTGGACAAGGGAAGAGCAACTGATGTTATCTATGTGGACTTCTGTAAGGCCTTTGATACAGTCCCCCACTACATTCTTGCCTCGAATTTGGAGAGAGATGGGTTTGATAGATGGACTGTTAGATGGATAAGGAATTGACTAATGGCTGCATTCAAAATCAATGGCTCAATGTCCAAGTAATGAGTGGTGTCCCTCAAGGGTCCATACTGGGACCAGTAGTCTTCAGTATCTTCATTGACGACATAGTGCTGGAATCTCAGGCAGTTTACCAAGAGCAAGTGCAAGGTGCTGCACCTGGGTCAGGGCAACCCCTGGTATCAATCCAGGCTGGGGGATGACCAGATCCAGAGCAGCTTTGCCAAGAAGGACATGGGGGTGAGAGGCTGGACATGACCTGGCAATGTTTGCTTGCAGCCCAGAAAGCCAACCGTGTCCTGGGCTGCATCAAAAGCAGTGTGGCCAGCAGGTCAAGGGAGATGATTCTGCTCCTCCACTCTGCTCTTGTGAGACCCCACCTCAAGTACTGTGTCCAGTTCAGGGGTCCCCAGCACAGGGAGGACATTGACCTGTTGGAGCAAGTCCAGAGGAGGCCTCCAAGATGATTAGAGGGATGGAGCACCTCTCCTATGAGAAAAGGCTGAGAGAATTGGGATTGTTTGGCCTGGAAAAGAGAAGGCTTTGGGGTCGCTTAATTGTGGCCTTTCAGTACCTGAAGGAAATGTACAGGAAAGATGGGGCAAGACTATTTACAAGAGAATGTAGTGACAGGACAAGGGGAAATGGGTTAAATTGAAAGAGTGTAAGTTTAGATTAGATATTAGGAAAAAATTCTTTACCGTGAGGATGGTGAGGCACTGGAACAGGTTGCCCAGGGAAGTTGAGGATGCCCCATCCCTGGAGATGTTCAAGGCCAGGTTGGATGGGGTTCTGAGCAACGTGATCTAGTTGAAGGTGTTCCTTCCCACAGCAGGGGTGTTGGAACTAGATGATCTTCAAGGTCCCTTCCAACCCAAACCATTCTATGATTCTATGACTGACAGTGGGATTGAGTGAACCCACAGCAAGTTTGCAGATGATACCAATCTGAGTGGTGCAGTTGATTCACTGGAGGGAAGGGATGCCATCCAGAGGGACCTTGACAGGCTCAGTACATGTGAGCCTCATGAAGTTCAACAAGGCCAATACAAGGTCCTGCATCTGGGTCAGGGCAATCCCCAGTATCAATACAGACTATAGGATGAATGGATTGAATGCAGCCCTGCAGAGAAGGACCTGGTACTGGTGGATGAAAAATTGATCATGAGACAGCAACATGTGCTTTCAGCCCAGAAAGCCAATTGTATCCTGGGCTGAATCAAAAAAGCATCGCCAGCAGGTCAAGGGAGGTGATTTTCCCTCTCTACTCTGCTCTGATGAGACCCCCACCTGGAGTACTGTGTGCAGTTCTGGGGCCCCCAGTACAAGAAAGACATGAACCTGTTGGAGTGGGTCCAGAGGACAGCCATGAAAACAATCAGAGGACTGGAACACCTCTCCTATGAAGAAAGGCTGAGAGAGTTTGGGTTATTCAGCCTGGAGAAATCCCTGTGGAGACCTTATTGCGGCTTTTCAATATATAAAAGGCGCTTATATGAAAAGACGAAGAGAGACTTTTTACCAGGGTCTGTATTGACAGGACAAGGGGCAATGGTTTTAAACTGAAAGAGGGTAGGTTTAGATTGGACATAAGGAAGAAATTTCCTATGATGAGGGTTGTGAGGCACTGGAACAGGTTGCCCAGAGAAGCTGTGGATTCCCCATCATTGGAAAGTATTCATGGTCAGTTTGGATGGGGCTTTGAGCAACCTGATTTAATGAATCTAGGTGATCTTAAAAGGCTGATCATTCTATGATTCTGTTATTTGTAGTGAGTTAGAAACCTGTTTTCTTTCTTATGAAATGTTCAGTTGCAAGCAAAAATAGTTTTTCTTTGGCAATTTATTTGTTTGAAAATCATATTTCCTGCTATAACAAATGAGAATAAGTGGCTGTCCAGTAGTACCAGACTTCAGACAAAGGAAAACTTGAACTGCAAGTATACCTGGCTGCTGCTCGATTTGTAATTGCATTTATGACACTTTTTGCTCTCTCCAAGGTGTTTTAAAAGGTAGTTACCAAATTAAACTGCATTATGTAGCTTTTTTCATTGCATTTTTTAAGTGACTGAAGCTTTTCACTTAATTGTGCAAATTTAAATGTTATGATTATGATTTATAGGCAGAAAGTGAAATTAACTGTGTGGTTAAACATGAGCAGTATTATTTTACCTTTTTTCACTTCAACTTTTTAGCTTCAGTAGGAGTTAGTTTTATTCTGTGAGGACACCTTAAAATGGAATTGTGATTCATTGAAACTGAATACATTAATTGCATGCAAAACAATGTCCTTTACATAGTGCCTAAGAACCAGATCTCATTTATTCAGAATAAAACTTTACTGAGACTATTTTAATTTTTTTTAAAAATAAAACTTGAGCAAGAAGTATTATTTGAACATGTGTTCAAGCTCCCGGGGAAAATTAGAACCAACTCTGCAGAGGAGTTCCTCTTAACCGGAAGAGATTAGGATTTCTATAATACTCCTAACTTTGACAACACAGATTGTGAATGCAGACTGACCTCCTTGATCAGGTTAAATCATCACAGAAATTAAATTTGACAAAAGATACTGTGGAACTCTACTAAGATTTTCATGGAGAATGAATCTTGAGGTGGGACAAGCTGTAATTTTATATACTGTTTTTATTATTCTTTAAGACTCATTATGAGACTTCATACATGGGCTGCTCTTTGAGCTTTCATTGTTCCTAGAGACATTTTTCTTTGGTCATTGTCACTAATCTAATGATGGATGTTGTTTTATGCAACTGATTTTTCTTTTTTCACATGTTACTTTTAAGCATGCTAGTGATGTGTATATTGCCATTCAAATGAAGTGTGCTATAACTGGTAATTAATCCAGAAATCTATTTTGGAATTAGCTAACATTTATGAGAATTTTAATCAGGCAACCCACTAAATATCACTTTAGGAATGAATATGCATATTGTAACATGCTAAAATAAAGATAATATACATTTATCACAGATGTAATGTCATAATGTTCGTGTTTCTTCATACATTGTATTTATAAGTGTCAACTTACTGTTTTGGGTTTTTTTAACTCAATAGAATAAAACTTGTGTAACACTGTTTTAGTGGGTTGAAACTGTCAAATAGCTTACATGGCTGTTTATCAGAGCAACTGCCATTCACCAGAAGGAATCTTTCTGTGCAAGCTGGATTACAAAAATGAGGAAGGGTAAAAAGTATATTTAATTTATTATCTGCTTTAAAGAATATCACTTCTATTACTGTGACCTTTGCATATAATTTTTCTTGTGTTGTACTAAAAAGGAACGTTGAAAGAATATTGTCACTACCATGTGTCTTTAAAAACACTTGAAGTCAAAGATACCTGCAAGTGCAAAGGGAAGCAAAATTTCCTTCAGGTGACAACAAAGGTTAGGGAAAACAAATACTTTGAAGAATTTTAATTAACCATCACTAATGTTTCAACTGAATTCTTCCTCCTGGGGTAAGGGAATTATGTTTACTATTCTGCCAAGAGAGACAATGTAGCAAAAGTATATAATACTATTAGGTGACATTGCTCTTTCAGACCTGATTTAGAGTTTTAACAAGCAAGCTTTACTTTTGATGTTCAGTGTAGCAGTGGCTAAAAAAGTTATTTTGGCTTAAGCAAACTGGTTTTAGAAACTACTATTATGAAAGCAACCTTATACAAAATGTTGAAAATGTTTCACTACTTTTCAGTGTGGTTTTTTTCCTTTTCCAGTGCAATGTAATATGCTTTATACCCTAATTTGAATAAGGTGCACTAAGCTGTATGTGTTAGAAATTAATGTATCTTATATTAATATATAATAATAATATATTGCCTTCCTAAAGCATGCACCTCTTGTCTGGAGTAGAATTTTGAGTATATACTTGTTTAATGTTATGTTTGTATCTGTGTACAGAAAGCATAGAAACAATGTTGGACCAAGCAAACCTATTTCTCAACCACGAAGAAACATTGTAGGCTGCAGAATACAGCATGGTTGGAGAGAAGGGAGTGGACCTGTAACACAATGGAAGGGCACAGTTCTTGATCAAGTTCCTGTAAATCCCTCCCTCTATCTTATAAAGTATGATGGATTTGATTGTGTGTATGGACTAGAACTGCACAAAGATGAAAGAGTTTCAGCACTTGAAGTCCTTCCAGACAGAGTTGGTAAGCGATTTTTTCCTATATGTGCATATGTTGTCAGAACACTTAAATTTTATTAAATTACTTTTCATTACATGGCAGATAATCTAAATGCTCTGTTTAATTTTTTTTTATTTCACAAATTTTTGATGATAGCAGAGATTAGTGCTGTCTCTTGTCTTTAAATGGCATGCAGAAAATTCTGTGTTTTTTCTTTTTGAGTCTTATCCCTAACAAGCTTATGTACATGTAACAGCGATAGTTCCATTAAAATTTAAACTCTGAGCCAGCTGAGAAATGTCCTGACTATGTTTTCTTGTGCGTGTTTGACAGTAATTATGTGTTTGGTTGGGTTTTTTTTTCATGTGCTTTCCCTAGGTTTTAATACAAGCGGAGGGAAAAAAGCATTTTCTAAGTGAAATGACTAGTAACAAGGCTTTATTGTTTTTTATAATTAGCACTGAATTGTTAAACTGCAGGTGTTTCCAAACTGTAAAGTTCAAAGTTTACCCTAGTAATTACTTATTTCTGAATGGAATAAATTCTTGTTTTTCCTGTCTGCAAAGAAATCAGTAGCAGTCTCTAGAATGGAGTTAGGGGGAACCAAACCGAACACCTTCATTAATAACTTCATACAGCTGCTCTGTGATTTAGCCTCCCTCCCCTCCACCCACAATACAAATATTTAAAATACAGATGCTATTCCTTGCTGTGGCCTATATTGGTCTCCCTTTACTTTGCATTATGATAGTTGGATTGGGAGGGGGGGTGCAATAATGTAAAATGTCAATAAAGAGTGTTAACATGTTAAAATAATTCTTCAAGTTCTGCTGTTCTTTGTTCTTTAACTCTCTGAAATGGACATTATTTGTTTTGTATGTGAATTGTCCAACTTTCAAACAAATTTATTCATGAATCTGGATAAAGAATTATTTTTGCAAAGACTTATTTCTGTACTTTTTGAATGGACATACTTATGAACTGCTACCATTTCAGCTTCATCTCGAATTAGCGATGCCCACCTGGCAGACACAATGATTGGCAAAGCTGTGGAACATATGTTTGAGACAGAGGATGGCTCAAAAGATGAATGGAGGGGGATGATTTTGGCTCGAGCTCCTATTATGAACACATGGTTTTATATTACCTACGAGAAAGATCCTGTCTTGTACATGTACCAACTCTTAGATGACTATAAAGAAGGTGACCTTCGCATTATGCCTGATTCCAGTAAGTAGAACAGTTACTTTTTTCTTCTGGAAAGTGGCATCTCTCTGTATTATTGTATGGCTTATGGGTTATATATGGAAAAGAGAGTTGACAAACAAGGATCTTTTAAAGTATCAAGACTAGACAGGTTTACAGCACAACTGAAAAAACATCTGTATTAAACAATTTCTGAAATATTTTACTTGAATCAGTAGTGAAATATGCAGTAAATACTGGAAAATCCTTTTCCATTATAATTCCTAATTCTGATAAAGATATACATACTGTTGTGGAAGAGATTACACTTAGATTTTTTTTACACTGACAAACTAGATACTTTCTGTTGTTATTATCTTATAGAAGTGTCACAAATCAAGAGCCATCTCAAGGAGTTGTATTTTTGAAGCAGTTCTTATAAAAATAATGTTTTGGGGCTAACTAAAATAGTCCAGTTAATTTAGTTTGGGTAGGCATCTTCAGTTTGGAAAGTTTTTGAATAGTTTCTTGGAGGAAAGAAGCACTAATTTTTGAAAACTCATTTTCTCTCACATGTTTAAACACATAAACAGGAAAAAAAAATTCAATAGGTTAGGAGGAATATTTTTTCTTCCTTTTTTGAAGTGAAAGTTATTGTTTTTTTCCTATAAATATTTTCACATGGTGTTGTTCAAGGGATTATAACTAATACCAAAAAAAAAGAAGAAAAAACTTTGTCAAGAATATTGTACTCTCGTTGTCCTGCACCTCAAAAGCACTTCTCTGACAGAGAGGCAATTTTGGCTTTAAAGTAAATCATTAATTCGATAGCCAAACACTAATTTGCAATGCACTACATAAATATTATTTAAAATTAATTCATTGAGTTTCTGAGACTGTCTTCCTTCAGATCTAGCAGTGGCTGAGTAAACAAGTGGCACTTACTTGCATAACCTCTGTACTAATCCTATGGTTTTAGACTTTTTTCCAGCCTAACAAAAATCGACATATCTGTGGCTTGAGAGGGAGCCACAAATATTAATGGAAAAATTGAACTTCCTATTTGTAAAAAAAACAAATAAAGCAAGCTCTTTCAGAGTTGCCACCCTGAAATACCTTGCAATTACTTTTTAAATTCTGCTTTGCTTTCTTCTTTCTTAGAAAAATAAGTTAAAAAAGACTTATGCTTTTCATATTTAAGAATTAAGTTTTTAATGTGTTTTTTTTTCCTGACTATCGATTGTGGGTCCCTTCCAACTCAGGATATTCTATGATTCTATGATTACTTACCTCTGTTTCTAAGACACTACAAACTGTGAGCTACCTTCCCTGAATTTGGATTTTTTACAGACAATGCAAATTGTGTCTTTAGGGATACTTCTGGGTAGATTTTGCTAGAAAAGCAAATAATATAGTTAAACTTCTCAACAGTATCCATTCTAGTGTGAAATCAAAAGCTCTTTTCAACAGCATTATTGATTAAGGAGGTTGCACTTAGCTTGGAAGATGTGGGTTTGTTGCAATGGCATGTTTGCATTGACATTTTGGATAGTGTGTGGGTTCTAGCACACCTGCCTTTCTATTAAAGACACTAAGTGCCTTGTTCTGCTGGGGGCTTAAATTCAATTATCTACAAACGTTTTGTAATTGGTGTGTAAACCTTCATGTCGAAAGATTTACTTTTCTAACCAATTGAAGTGCTATTTTTTTTTTCATAAAAGTGAGGATGGTATTACCTAAAAAAATAAAATCTGTGACTACTCTCTAGAAGCATGGCAATAGTTAGGTGTTTGTCTAAACAACTCGTTTTAGACATACTCTGCATTTTAAACTCGTGATTGTTTCTTAACTTTTAAAGAAGTCTCTGCAGTTTTGTATATTGGAAAAAATCCATAAATGTCTACCAAAGTACATTGTATTTTCATATTACAGATGATTCACCTCCTGCAGAACGGGAACCAGGTGAAGTTGTGGACAGCCTGGTAGGCAAACAAGTGGAATATGCCAAAGAAGATGGCTCAAAACGGACTGGCATGGTCATTCATCAAGTTGAAGCCAAACCATCTGTCTATTTCATCAAGTTTGATGATGATTTCCATATTTATGTCTATGATTTGGTGAAGACATCCTAGGCGTCATCATGAACTTCTGCCAAATTTGTGGAACTATTAAATGTAAAATTTGTAGACACAGACTTGATTGTTTTTCAGTTAAATGAAAGTTTAAATGTCCCTGCGAACCCACAATCTCTGCTAGCAACTCTGGTTTGTTCTGAATAATACAAATTTATGTGAACATGACACATCTTGTGTAAGAGAACTCCTTTTCTTGAAGGAAGTCAATATATTTGGGTGGTAGGGAGTTAAAAGCAAAGAAGAGTTGCAAATTCAAGCTGTGTGAAATCAATCTAGTATTGTAATCTAGATTTTTTCATAGATTAACTTTTCCTTCAACCTTGCATCACCTGTTCAACTGCCACATGCAAGTGTAGTTTGCTATTTTCCATATGCCTTCTTTTGCAACATTAAATTTAATTTCTTGGCTACTGGCAGTCCTTGTTTTCTGGCTTGGGACAGAGGTGACTTTTCTGAAAGATTTAAACAGTTTGTGCAGCAGTAAGGAGTGTCTAACCCAAGTAACATCAATTTACTGTGTTTCTACACTTAATTTCAAATTAAGTTTTTTAAGAACTTGCAGTACATGGAAATACTTGTGCATTTTTACTAGTCACAGGGCAGTAGGGTATCAGGTGTTTGACATGCACCTTTCAGTGAAAAGGCTTTAAACTATAAAAATATATTTAATCTGCATATCCAGTTAATTAGAAAATGCAGGTTAAGCGCCTGTGTTTACAAGTTGTAGGAACCAGTAAAATACACACAACAAAGCTGCCTTTAATCCTAAATGTTGTACTCTGTTTTGTTATACACATTTCGTAGCAGAATACGAGTGGTTGGTGCCACAAGTTTAACAGTATATAATGCTACTTAAGCAGACTTTAGACTACACATTGGCAATCAGTAGTCTGTCATTTAATAACAGAACCTAGCAACCTGGATGTTTGTGTGTGGACTTATAAACCTAGTATTAGTTAATCTTTTCCACAGTAAATACAAGTTTATGGGGGGGGTCCTTTTACACTGAGGACCTCCTTTAGAGAAGGAGACGCATTTGTTGCCTTCTGCTCAGTCTGCTGTATTCCTTTGCTTTGTTTTGTGTTGGGCTTTGCTATTGTTTTTAACCATTTTGGTTCAAGAAGGCATCTTTTCAATGTATTCTTTTTCTGGCTTTTCCATGTAAGGAGTGTCCAGACAAATCTACAGTTTAAACCTGTTGTTGCCTTTAGTGGTGTACTTGCTTTGAGGTATGCCGTTAACATGAATTTCATTCTATGAACACTAGAGTTTTGCATGCCAGTGGTGTACTATCTAATGAGAGCTATAGACAGTCTCAGTGGTTCAGTCATCTGCATTAGATTGTGGATGTAAATAACAGCCCACAACAGCAGAATCCTTTCACAGTTTTAATCTTGCAAGATAGTTGTAAATCAAGGGTAGGGTATTTGTTGTTTTTTAAGAGTAGCAACTTTTAAAAGCATCGTAATTGTAACAAGGATCAGCACAGCAACAAAATTGTCATGTTAAAGCAGAGCTCTACAAGCTTCAAAGCACTGCTTCACCGAAATACAGTATGTGAAGAATGTGAATACAGTCAATGCTATTGATAGAAAGAAGGAATACATAGATATCCAACCTTATGATGTCAGTGGGAGGATGCAGGAGAGGTACTGTTAATCAGAGATCAAAGGTCTGACCTCTATTGTGGGTATTCTTGATATCAAAGACTCAGTGGTTTAAGTCCTTTTCTGTCCATTTTTTTGCCTGATTTCATATTTTAGCCTTAAGGTTTGTGCCTCATTATGCTGTTAAATGGTAATACTGTATAAATATGGTATCTTAATTCTTTGTCCCTTGCTACTATATTGCATTATATCCTGTATTTCATCATGGGCAACCAAAGGCAGGCTATTGTCTTTCAGTTCACAACTTCTTTAAGCACTATCTGAGTCCGTAAATTTTCATTGTGTTTTGAACAAAATGAGCAGATTTGCAACACAGTGCTTTCATCCTGCAGATCTGTTATGTGCTTTCTATTGACTCTTAAGAGTCCTGCATGTAAATCTCAAAGCTGAGCCTGGCTCCATGAGCCCAAGCTGATATTTGTGGCACAACGAGTGTATTGATTACACACAAAATACATGAATAACTTAGTACAATGAATTTTGGGCTTTACATCTAAGGATGTAACAACAAGGTTTGTTTTGAAATATTTGAGGTTTAGGTCTACTGGAACATTTTTAGCATTAGGCTTGCATTTGTGAGTTTTTATGTAAGCCACTCTAATAGACCATATTTTGCTAATTAGATTATAATCTATACAGTATATACTGTCAAATTTTATGGTTGTTTTCGGATGTCCCCATTGTCTGTTGCATGGGTTTTTTCTTTTCATCTTTTTTTCTTAAGGTTTGTGGGGGGAGTGTTTTTGATTTTGTGGGGGTTTTTTTAATAACTTAAACCACCTTTTTGAGACTTGAGACTAATTCCACTCCCTGCCATCTGCTTTGGGCTTTATTTTAGGCTCATGTTTCAGATCTGCATGCAGTGCTTGCATTACCCTAGTAACTACATGTTGGTCCCTTGTTCTAGGGGTTCAACATTACTTTCCAAATTTATCATAGGTCTTGTGATGACACAAGCCATGGATCTATATATAAAAGTTATTGGCCTCTCATTTACCTGCTGTAGTATTGTTGTATATTGTGTGTGCATGATGTCAATCTGCCATGTAAAACTTTTAAAAAGGAAAAAAACCTTAAACGCAGACCATCCTTTTTGCATGCTTAGAAGGTTAGAACATTCAATGTAACAAACTGAAGTTGCATGTTATAATGTTTAGGTTTGGAGTTTGTTTTGTTTTTATTTTGTGTTCAGTTTTTTGTGAATTTACTTATTGTGCTGTTTGAATGGTTGTTAGTAGGATTAAATGCACTGGTGAGGCAAACATAGTGCCAACAGAAGGTAATTTTCCAGTTGTATGTGTCATACAGCATTTGAAGGGACCATGTATTCTATTCATGAATAAATAAAATCACAATTGATAAGTAAAACACTGAATTTCTTTTCTTTTGAATGGCAAAGCCTAAACTGAGGTGGACTACATAAAGACAAATACTTTGGGGGAAATCCTATTTATTACAATAGGTATACATCTTCTTTAAATTAATTATTTAAAATGGAGGCTTTATCTTCAAATAGAATAGATTACAGTTATTTCAGGGAAAAATAATTATGGTAAAAAACAGTTTCTGGTTCCTTGAAAATGTTGTTCATTTTGTATTTTACATCATTAGTGCAATTTGGATGGTTCTTGGTATGTGTATAGTTCAAAGGTCTTCGTGTTCACATTTTAAAATTAGGTAGTGACTTCATCTTTAGAGCTTGGTTTCATTATTTTTATTTTCTTTGCATTTAGAAGTATGAACACTTTAAATCTGTTACTTAATTCTGTAAGTAATTTTTATAATTATGATGTAACTCTATCCTTAAAACATTTAAAATAAATCCTTTATGTGCAACTCATGACTGTAAATTTTATTCTCATGAGCAAAATGTAGTGATGTGACTTCAGATTGTGAAGAAGCAGTTTCTTCAGTATTTTAATTTAAAAGGACTTAGTATTTTAAAGTTGGGCCACGTGTGCTGGTATAATACTTTCCCCTATGAAGTAAGTTTGCTTGCTAAGTCAAATCTTTTTTATTTTTTTCCCCATGTAAGTATGAATGTCAATAAGATGGAATTTAACTGAGGTAAAGCATAATGCTTAAATTGTATTTCACCGAAAGCAGAAAAATTCCTCCTCAGGGATTTATGCAAGTCTGTGAGGAAGCCTCTTATTTCCAGAACACACTATAGCTCACACTGTTAGCAGTAGTTAAGCAGCAGGGAACAGTAGAAGTGTTTGTCAGTGTTTAGCTGATAGATGTGACTGCTTTGAATTATTGTGCTTAACTAAAATTTGAATTTTATTTTACTCACTGAATTAAAAAAAAAAAAGTAGAATTTATCCAAAACTAGACATGATGAGCAGTGAAGAGAATAATACCACAGTGCTGTGAATTTCCTTGAGACATATTAAGTTCTTCATACTAATACATGAACACTTAATTATTTTATGTCATTAAAGGTAAATTACCAAGCCTGACTTTGAATACTGAAATAATGAGATTTTCCTTATTCCTCCCTCTTCTCTGATTATGGGGGAAAAATGTAATATGAATACCCCAAAATATATTTTTGGTACCAAGTTGCCAACACCCCTGGATAGTGGGAAGGATTGTACCCTCATCAAGTTCACAGATGATGCAAAACTGGGAGGAGTGGCTGATACACCAGAGGGTTGTGCTGCCATCTAGAGGTACCTTGACAGGCTGGAGAAATGGACTGACAGGAACCTCATGAATTTCAACAAGGGGAAGTGCCAAGTCCAACACCTGGGTAGGAACAACCCCATGCACCAGTACATGATGGGGGCTCACCAACTGAAAAGCAGCTTTGCAGAAAAGGACTGTATGTGTGTAGTGTCCTAGTGGACACCAAGCTAAACATGAGCCAGCAATGTGTCCTTGTTGGTAAAGAAGGCTAACAGTATCCTGGGCTGCATTGGGATATTGTTGCCAGAAAGTCAAGGGAGGTGATCCTTCCCCTTTATTCAGCACTGGTGAGGCTGCATCTAAAGTACCATGTCCAGTTCTGGGCCCCTCAGCACAAGAGAGTCTTGGACAGCGAAGGGCCACAAAGATGATTAAAGGACTGGAGCATCTCTCCCATGAGGAGAGGCTGTCACCTGGCTTTATAGGGACAGACAAGTTCTTTTGGAAATCCTTGGCAGAATGATGATGAAACTAAGTTGTAGTTACATTTAAAGTTTTATTTTTTACCAGACTTTTATGATCATCATAGAATGTTATGACCAGGGTAGCACAGGTGTTTTAATAAGCAGAATCAGTGTAGCACAATTTTATAAGTAGCATAGCACAGAATTTTATAGCACAACTTAGCTTATGGTTTCTAATCACCTGGACCCTCTGCAGATCAGGTCAAATCTTAATACATGACTTGCCATATCAATATAACAATCATAATCTAGGCTTGAAAGATGTAAAAGAATATGAGTCACTCAATCCTCGATAGAAGCAGATGACGTTGGAGGCATCCCTGATCACTGGAGGATCATAAGTTTTGCCGTCCAGCAGCAGTTTGGTCCAAGTCCCACTTAGGACTTTTAACTGCTTGATCTTATAGGCAGTGCTCTGTGTGCTGCTAAGCTTCCCTGTTCTGTGTCAGGGTCACCACCTGATTGACCAGGTGCCTGGGACCTTCAAAGCCATTAAGGAGGAGAGTAGTTGGCCTGTCACCCAGGAACCTGGAGACTGATAAGGAAGGGGAGAAGTCTTCCTGGTGCACAGGACCTTCAAGGCCTGATGAGGGAAAAGGGGACTGATATGTGACCAGTTCAGTCACAGGGAATGGCTATTTACCTAATGGCATTAGTTATGTTAACCATATTACCAGGAGTCAAAAGTAGATGGTCACATTGAGAGAGCTGGGACTGTTTAGCCTGGAGAAGAGAAGGCTCGGAGGGGTTCTTATCAACGTGTACAAATACCTGATGGGAAGGAATGAAGAAGAGGGAGACAGGCTCTTCTCAGTAGTACCTAGTGACAGGTTGAGAGCCAGTGGGTACAAAATGAAACACAGGAATTTCCATCTCAACATCAAAAAACTTTTTTTTTTACTCTGAGTGTGACTGAACACTGGAACAGGTTGCCCAGAGAGGTTGTGGAGTCTCCCTTCTTGAAGATATTCAAGAGCTGTCTGGACAGGGTCCTGGGCAACCAGTTCCAGATTACTCTGCTTGGGGAGGAAGGGGCGGGGAGTATGTGGACTAGGTTCCAGCCTCAACTATTTTGTGATTTTTAGGATTGGCAGCCTAATAAGTTATCAAGCTTCTAAGCATTCTTTTCAGGGTTTATTCTTCCAATTTTACTAGTTTACTGCTCTGAATTCCTCAGTTCCTCTTCCAGATTTGGAGTATAGCAGCAGTATATGTACAATATAATGTAGCTGAGGTCCCACTGGTGTCAATAAGCTGGTATATACTTAACACTTAACTATTCTGCTTGGATGTTAATTACTGCTTTCTGTTGCATATCGCTCTTAAATCATTGTCATGATTTACATTACTTCAGTTGAACAAAAAATGTAAATGGCTTTTGTAGTCTGACAATTAAAATACCTATATATTTTAGCAAATTTTTTTCTCCAATTAATCCTTAAAATTACTTGTGAAAATCACTCCATTGAATACACGTCCTTTTTTTGAACATCTCCATGCTTTTTGGTGTCACATTGTTACTCAGGTCTCTACACTAGACTACCCTGTTCAAAGTTGACTCTGGTAATGAATACTGACATCTATGCACCTCAATTTGAGCAAACTTCTTTTATTTTTTTTCTTTAGCATGTTCCACTTGGACCTAACATTTGAGAGACGTATTTTTAGTAGTAAATTAAGATAATCACCACAACTTAAGGCACACTTTATTCTACTTTAAATGCACATTCAAGTTAAATCAATGGAAATTTACATAGCCACTATTTGGGAGGGGAAAGGGACATTTTATCTTTTTACAAGATCTAATAACACTTGTGGGGAAGATAGCTCTGAAAGAGCATCTAATCCTTTAAATATGTATAAGGAAATATAAGATCCTTATGCATTTTGCACAGAGTTTGGACAGCTGATTTTTAGTTCTGCAGAACTATCTACTATACTCACCTTTGAACTGGATTGTGAGATGTCTTCTTAAATTATCCTTATGAACATTTTGATCTACAAATGGAGTTGTGCTGAGAATGGTTTGTTGTGTTCTCTGCAAATGTTCTAATTAATTAGGTTTTGCAGTACTGACTTCTAGCCATTTTTAACTTAGAAAAGCAGGTATCTAACATAAATGCTTATGAATTTAATGATTTAGAAAACAAAGTAACATTTTAAGCTATAACAGCAAACAATGTTAATAGCAGAAACAGTACGAAACAAATCTATTATATGATCCAGAGATCATTCTCAAAAGTGTTAAGAAAGAGGCCAACAGCAAGTTATGCAAATGTCTATTTTTGCTACATTCATTACCCCATATTTCATTGGGAAAGGATGAACTGTCTCCATGGGGATCCTCACTAATCTCAGGTTTTGTGCACTCATTCTACATTTGATGCCTTCAAAAAATATTCACTCTGCCTCACGCAAAGTTCTTCTCTTGTTAGTGAGCCTCAGTTTATTGTCTACTGGCACATTGAATGAATAAAACAAAAAGTGAGATTTATCATGCAGTTTCCTGAGAAACTGAGGTGGAAAAGCTAACTTACTTGATTCAGAATTTCTGATGGATAGATCCAATAACTACTTAATTGGGAACTGAGAATGATAGTTTGTTCCAGGAGAATGAAAAAAAATGCTAACTACATAGTAAACACAGGCCTTTCTTTAGACTTTACTGAAGAGAAAAAAAAATCTAAGATGAATTATATGTTATGTGGGAGTGTCTGCTCCTTTAAGGGTTTCTGGTCAAGGACCTTTTTCAATGAAAACACGGATAATAAGAAAAGGAGAAAGCCATAAACAAGACTATCCCAGGGACAGAAATTTGATGACAAATGATAATGGAAGCACTTCAAGGAAGACCAACCTGGACTTTGCAACTGATAAGATTGTATATCGGGGGGATTCCGGACACCAGGGTGTGAGGGGATGCAAGAATCTACAAACCCATGAAGTCACATGCAGAGGAAAGAGGGAACAATCAGGAACAAAGGTGGAGTAGACAGAAAGGAGTATAAAAAGGGCTGGTCCCATGCCTGTCATCATGCTTGTCTGGCCAAGTACTGCTCCTGATCACCAGAGTCTGTCCTTTCTTCTTATCCCTTCTTATTAAATCTTTTCTTAACTATCTGTGTAATCTCACTCTCTATCCTGTGATGAAAGGACTAAGTGCCAGTTAGAGAGAGACCTGTGTGTGTGTGAGTGAAATTTGGTGCTAGCAACTAGTCAGACTGGGAATGTAAGCACCCGGCTACTGGAATGAGTGGGTGTCATAGAATCAGTAGCTGAGGGGCCATAACTTTATGAATCTAAGGAAGGTTCTGCAGACTTTGTGTCTGGGGTGTCAACTACTTTGGCAACTGGTGCAAGTGGACTGGGTGCCAGCTACTGGAGTCAGACCATGGTGTAGATACCTCTGGCCTGTGGTGCCAGCTACTAGAGTGAGTGAATGTCTCAGGGCTACTGGAGTGAGGGAGGGGTCTTAAGTCTCCAGCCACTGGAGTAGATACAGGGTATATGTGCATGTCCCAAGAGCCAGCTACTATGAAGGATCAGCATAAGTGAGGTGAATGAGGGGCTCAGCTCTAGCATCTAGAGCTGGACTGTGGGTCAGAGCCTCTGTGAGCTGTCTGTATCTTCCCCAAACCTGGTGTGGGGGTATGTGCATCTATAATTCCCTAGAAAACTTCAAGGTGGATTAGCCACTGAGTAGGAACCTGTGAAGCAGGTAAGAGGGCCTAGGATCTGGGCAGCGATACTAGATGGACAGAGAGGGCTGTGCCATACTCAAGGGATACATGAATGTGCATGTGTTTATGAATCTAAAGACCATTGTGTGTGTACCTTCACTAGTAACCTTCTAGCTCTACCAACCAAAGAGGTGGATGAGGACACGACTGTCTAGGTTTGGTTTATGTGGGTCCTGTATATACATGCTGTTGAAGACAATGCCTTGTCTGTAGCAGTCTGTGTAATCAACTCTGTCAGTGTCCTGCATGTCTGTCTGTGTGCGCATGTCTCTGGTATATGTTTTTATCTTTGCTACTGGTTGAACCTGCAAATGGGAAATGGTCCCTAAGCTTGGGCAGAGACCCCAGGCAACCCAGGCTGGAGTCCAGTAGCTGGGAAGGAGGAAGTCCTGGGCCAGAGCAGCTGGAGACAGCATCTGCACTCTTAACATTCCTTAGAAATTATTGCCTGGTATGGACAATGATCTCTATTGCTATAAAACCAAACAATATTTTGATTGTCGCGGTAGGAACGGCCGTGCGACATAAAAAAGGTTCCAACAAAG